TAGTTCAGCCATTAAGGAATGGAATATGGAGGTTCCTCAATAAACTAAAAATAGAATTATCATATGCTCTAGCAATCCTGCTTCTGGATAAATATTCAAAATTTAGAATTATTATTCTGGGGCTTGGTGTTTAACTCAGTGGTAGAGTACTTGCCTAGCATGTATGGGGCTCTAGGTTCAATTCCCCAGTACTACAAAAATAATATGTTGAAAAGAGATCTGTTCTTCCATGTCATTGCAACATTACTCATGATAGTCAATTTATGGAATCAACCTAGGTACCCTTATCAATTGGATGAATGGATGAAAATAATGTATGCAATCACAATAGAATAGTACTCATTCTTTCAAAAAAAAGACAATCCTGACATTTGCAAAAATATATATATATAAATCTGGAGGACATCATGCTAAGTTAAATAAGTCAGGCCCATGAAGAAAAATACCTTATTTACTCATTAGTAGGATACTTACTCTTCTTAAGTGTATAGGGAACATGTCCATGATTTTCTGTTGTTCAGTCATAAAAAGTCTCAATAAATTTTAAAGGACAGATAGCACACAAAATATGGTCTCAAATTACAGTGGAATGAAATTAGAAAGCAGTGGCAGGTAGAAATTTAGGAAATTCACAAATGTGTGGAAATTAACCAACAGATTCTAGATTTTTTATTCTTTTTAGATACATATGACAGAAGAATGTATTTGACATATTATACATACAAGGAGTGTAACTTATTTTAATTAGGATCCCAGTCTTGTGGATGCACACAATGGTGAGATTCTTCAACAGATTCTAAATAGCCAATGATTCAAAGAAGAAATCACAGGGGACATTATAAAATACTCTGAAATAAATGAGAGTGAAAATACAATATACTAAAACTACAGTATGCAATATAAGATGTATAGGGGGAAAATTATAGCTGAAAATACCTATATTTTTTAAAGACCTCAAAATTGTAAAAAGAAAGAACTCAAACTTCCACCTAAGAACCTTGAAAAAGGAGAGCATGGAAAACTCAAAGCAAATGCAAGGGAATTAGAATAGATTAGAGGAAGCAGAGCAGGGGGAGAAAGGAGGGAAAGGAAAGAGGAAGGACTGGGGACTGAAATGGAGCAAATTATATTCCACGCATGCATGATTATGTCAATGAACCCCACTATTATGTATAACAGTAGTGCAGTAATACATTTTAAAAGGGAATAAGAAGATTGAAGTGGAAATAAATGAAAGTAGAAAAATGACAATAGAAAAAAAATCAACTGAAACAAAAAGTGGAGCTTTGAAAAGATCAAACAAATTGGCAAACCTTTAGCTAGACTGATCCAGAAAAAAAGAGGGAGGATTGAAGTTACCAAAATCAGGAATAATAGGAAATTATAATCTACAGGGGGAAAAGAGACTATTATGAACAATTTCAAGCCAACAAATTAGAAAATGTAGATGGAATGGAAAAATTAGAAGATACACAGAAACTTCCAGAACTGAGAGGAAGAAATAGAAAACCTGATTAGGCCTGTAACAATAAATAAAGTCAGTAATCAAAAGCTTTACACAAAGAGTCCCTGAACCAGATGATATCACTGATGAACTCTACCAAGAATTTAAAAAAAATTAACAGCAATACTTGACAAATTCACTCAAAAAATAGAGGAGCAGATTCCACTTATGAACTCCTTCTATGAGACTATAACTACCTTGTTGAAAAAAATAGACAAGGAAATAAGACTATATACCAATTTCTCTTATGAATATAGATGTAAAACTCAACAAAATATTAGCAAATCACTCCAGTAACACATAAAAAGATTATTTATCATGGTCAAGTAGGATTTATCCCTGGAATGTATGTTGATTCAACACACAAAAATCAATCAATATGGTATACCTTGCTTACCAAATAAAGAACAAAACACATAACAATATCAATAAATGCAGAAAAGCATTTTACAATATCTAGACAGTGTTTCATGATAAAAAAAACTGAACAAATTAGAAATAATATGAAAATTCTTCAACCTGAAAAAGCCATACAGCTAACTTCATATTTAATAGTGAAATATTAAAAATTTCCCCTTGTCAGAGTAGGAAAAAAACAATGATTTTTGCTCTCACTGCTTCTGTTTGACATCACATGGGAGGTTCTACCCATGGCATTTAGGAAAGAAAAAGAAGTGGAAGTATTCCTAAAATTGTTCTACATATTCAATGTAATCCCTATTAAAATCCTAGCTTGCTTTTCTGGAGAATTAGCAAACCAACTCTAAAGTTCATATGAAAATTCAAGAAGCATCCCAGAATAGCCAAATCAATCTTGAGAAAAAAAAGAGCAAAGTTGAAGAAGTCAACCTTCCTGATTTTAAAGAAGTATTCTAAGTTCAAAATTAGATATTTGAATATTTTGATAAATTAAATATATGAATATTATCTTTTCATTTAAGATATGCCAGAAGAAATTAATAGAAATTGTTTTACATTCTACCACAAATTTCTCAAATCAAACTCTGTTCAATTTTCTCCTTCCTACATTGGCATTTTCATGAGTGCAATTTTAAAAATGTATTTACATTGGGAAAGTTAATCAATATTAAAATTTAGTTTGCTTTCACCAATGTGTGCCAATGTTTTCTTTATAGCTATTTCATTCAAATGGCCACTGATGGATCTAATCTTATCTATCTTCACCTGAACATTCCAAAAGATAATTCTATCTATAATATTTTATAACAAATTTCTCAAACCATTGATGTTAAATATTTATTATAGTTAGCTTAATGTTTTGAAATAATAGTATTGGAACTATGATTTAAGGAACTAATAATGCTAGTTAAAATCTAATGCCTAGGGCCTCGGGGAATAGCTCAGTGGCAGAGTGCTCACAAGCACAAGTCCCTGGGCTTGACCCCCAGAACCACACATATACATACGTGAACACACATTCATAAATTTGTTTTACTAATGTAGTTGTCTTTCTATCAACAATTAATGCTTAATCTTTTTCTACTTTTCCCATTCAAGTTAAGAAAAAACAACCCATAAACCATCAAGAAGTTTAAAATCACTCTCTTGTTTTAAAAAAATAGACTATTCAATGAAATTAAGGTATTTGCCAGTAAAGGGATGGAACTGGAGACCATCATGCTAAGTGAAAAAAGCCAGATCCTGAAAGTCAAACGTCAAATCTTTTCTCTGAAATGTGAAAGCTAGTCTGAAATCTGGAAGAAAGAAATGGTGGTGGGAGGCAATTCCATTAAAATAGAAGAATGGTTAAGTAGAGAAAGGAAACTGAGGTAGAAGAAGGAGGAACAGGATAAAAGAAGAATGATGGAATGTATCTGATCTAACTTTCTTATGTACATATATGAATACACCACAGTGAATCTCACCTTTATGTACAAAGCACTAATTTTAAAAAAACTATAGTAGAAAGATCAATAGAGTAGAGAAAGATAACAGAAGGATGGAGGAGAGGAGGGAAAGGGGAATCACTGGGGACTGAATTAGAGAAAATTATAATCTACACTTTTATAACTATGTCAAAATGAATCCTAATGTCATGTATAACTAAAAAGAACAAATAAAATAGGCTACTCAAAACTTAAATATGTGGGTTTAATATTTTGAACTTTAACTACTTGTATTAAAATTTCTTCAAAAAGATTTTTATCTTCAATGATTTTCAAAGTTCTTGCTTTAACACAAGAAAAGTGTTAAAGATGCTACTTAAGTTATATTTTTATGATTAGTCTGACAACCAATTATACAAATAGTCATAAGAATCATTCAGAATGGATAATTCACCTTACCTGACTGGGGTGTAATGTTTTAGGTGGTTATTCTTTATATCATTAATTTCTCCTTCAGGTAGGTATAATAGCTTTTTTCCTGATAAGTTTCACAGTTTGGGGGAACAATTCATCACATAATATGCTAGGCCATACTTCTAGGCCTCCCTTCTTGATTTTACTAGATCTTTACAAAGAACTTAACAAAGTTTAAAAATATCTGTTCATAGGTATTTTCACCAATATTTAAGGTTATAGGTAATTCATTACATATGTAATTCTTATTTTTCTCACCTGATTAAATATATCAAGATAAATATTGAGCATTCATTCTCCTTCCAATTTCAAAGATGGATAAGCATCTTTCTTTGCTATTAACTGTCTCTAAAGAGAGGTAAAGCATTTGAAAGGTTCTAATGATAACTGAAAACTTGAATACAAATATATTTCACCCATGATGTCCATATCACTAAGGAAAGGCTGATGTTTGATCTACTGTACTTTTTTTCACAAAGTTGTTCATCTCTCCAATTCCAATTAGATTCTAATTGTGTGTATTCTAATGCCATTTGCCTTATTTCTAGATTTAGTGTGATGTTATACTGTGAATGACTCAGTACAAGATACCTATTACTCAACTGTATTACTATTTGCATGCCAGTGTGAAAAAAATAGAACTTATCTTTGAAATATAGTCCTTCTTTAGAATCATATGATACAAAACATCTTAAATTTTCACATCACCACAAAGTCCTCAGATTATTGGAAATAAATAGATATAAATATTATGAATTAAATTGCCATTTTTATAAGAACTTATTTCCCCTGGCTAGATTACACAAAGGGTGAAATGGAGTTATTTGAAACCACACTGATGTGAGACGAAGACTGAGATATCCTATTGTTTTATGCTCACGATTATCCTAGTTCATGCTCTAGAAAAAAAAACACTATCAATTTTAGAATTTAAAGGAATGACAAAAAACAAAACAAAACAAAACACTTTACTTTTTTAAAAATGAATTTCATTTGGAAACTTCCCTAAGGTATTCTGACTTGAATATTTCTCAATCAAGACACAGGGTGGCGCTGCAGGCTAAGAATGTGAATACAAAAAGCGCCCTAAAAAAGCTCGCGATTCTTCATATTGTAAAACGTAATGTTAAATAGATCAACGTGTAAGAAGCTTTGCAAAAAATACGGAGTTACCAGGAGGTTTGGACAGAGATATTCTAAATCAATTTGAGACTACAAACAACTTTGTAAGGATTCCTGCACGCAAGAAATTAGAACTGAAGGTCTCAAGTTTTTCTGTGATTGGTGAAGGGATTGGATGTAAGCAATCCGACTCCAACATGGAGAAGCTGGAAAGAATTCAACCAAACAGGCAAGTGATGGTCTTTATTTTTATGGTGTTCATGCCTCAGGGTCGCACGGAGCCTCTTCGTTATTTTATACAGGAGGAAACAGAGAGCTGCTCCTTTGTAGCCCATCTGACCAAGGACCTGGGCCTGGGAACTGGGGAACTGGCTGCCCGGTCTGCTCGAGTTGTGTCTGATGATGACAAACAGCATTTGCTGTTGGATCCTCAGACTGGGGATTTGCTTCTCAGGGAGACATTAGACCGGGAAGAGCTGTGTGGCCCTATTGAACAGTGTGTACTGTATTTCCATGTCTTGCTGGAAATGCCAGTGCAAATTTTTCAGGGAGAATTATGGATCCAGGACATAAATGACCACTCTCCAGCATTCACTGATGGGGAAGTGCTCTTGAAAATACCAGAAAACAGCCAGCCAGGGACTCTATTTCCATTGAAAGTAGCCCAGGATTTGGATGTGGGTAGCAATGGGCTTCAAAAATACACCATCAGTCCCAATTCTCATTTTCACATCCTTACACGAAATCACAGTGAGGGCAAGAAATACCCAGACCTGGTACAAGACAAAGCCCTGGATAGAGAGGAGCAGCCTGAATTCAGCTTAATCCTCATGGCTCTGGATGGTGGCTCTCCACCTAGGTCTGGCACAGTCACAGTTCGAATCCTGATCATGGACGTCAATGACAATGCTCCCGAGTTTGTGCATACCCCATATGAGGTGCAGGTCCTGGAGAACAGCCCCTTAGATTCCCCAGTCCTCAGCGTCTTAGCTAGGGATGCAGATGCTGGAAACTTTGGGAGTGTTTCCTATGGCTTGTTCCAACCATCTGATGAGATTAAACAAACTTTCTCAATAAATGAAATCACAGGGGAAATCCGACTGAGGAAGAAATTGGATTTTGAAAAAATTAAATCTTATCACGTGGAAATTGAGGCTATAGATGGAGGAGGCCTTTCTGGAAAAGGCACTGTGTTTATAGAGGTGGTGGACGTGAATGACAATGCCCCAGAACTTACCATATCGTCACTCGCTAGCTCCATCCCAGAAAATGCTCCTGAGACCGTGGTTTCTATCTTCAGAGTTCGAGATAGAGATTCTGGAGACAATGGAAAGATGACTTGCTCTATTCCAGATAATGTGCCCTTCATTCTAAAACCAACTTTCAAGAACTTTTACACCCTGGTGACAGAGAGCCCGCTGGACAGAGAGAGCAGAGCAGAATACAACATCACCATCACAGTCACCGACATGGGGACACCCAGGCTAAAAACCGAGCACACCATAACCATCCTCGTCTCTGACGTCAACGACAACGCCCCTGCCTTCTGCCAAATGTCATACACGCTGTTGGTGCGAGAGAACAACAGTCCCGCCCTGCACATAGGCAGTGTCAGCGCCACAGACAGAGACTCAGGCACCAATGCCCAGATCACCTACTCGCTGCTGCCAAACCAGGACCCACACCTGCCCCTCTCCTCCCTGGTCTCCATCAACGCAGACAATGGGCAGCTGTTCGCGCTGAGGGTGCTGGACTTCGAGGCCCTGCAGGCATTCGAGTTCCGCGTGGGCGCCACAGACCAAGGCTCGCCGGCGCTCAGCAGCCAGGCGCTGGTGCGCGTGGTGGTGCTGGATGAAAATGACAACTCGCCCTTCCTGCTGTACCCAATGCAGAACGCCTCTGCGCCCTGCACTGAGCTGGTGCCCAGGGCGGCAGAGCAGGGCTACCTGGTCACCAAAGTGGTGGCGGTGGATGGAGACTCGGGCCAGAACGCCTGGCTGTCATACCAGCTGCTCAAGGCCACGGAGCCCGGGCTGTTTGGCGTGTGGGCGCACAATGGCGAGGTGCGCACCACTAGGATGCTGAGCGAGCGCGATGCGGCCAGGCACAGGCTGGTGGTGCTGGTCAAGGACAATGGCGAGCCTCCGCTGTCTGCCAGTGTCACGCTGCACGTGCTGCTGGTGGATGGCTTCTCCCAGCCCTACCTGCCGCTCCCAGAAGTGGCGCCCGACCGCGCGCAGGGGGACTCGCTCACTGTCTACTTGGTCATCGCCTTGGCCTCTGTGTTGTCGCTCTTCCTCTTTTCTGTGTTGGTGTTCGTGGCGGTGAGGCTGTGCAGGAGGTGCAGGGCGGCGCCGCTGGGTGTCTTTTCTGTGCCTGAGGGCCACCTTCCTGGCCACCTGGTGGATGTCAGTGGCACCGGGACACTGTCTCAGAGCTACCAGTATGAGGTGTGTTTGGCTGGAGACTCTGGGTCTGGTGAGTTCAAATTCCTGAAGCCAATATTCCCAAACCTCTTGGTTGAGCACGCTGGGAGAGAAGTTAAGGAAAATTCCAACTGCAGAAATAGTTTTGTATTCAGCTAATTGTTGTATTTCCTTCTCACTAATTTTGCAACTACCTATTGCAATTTCTTTGTCTTTAGTAATTCTAGTGCTAGTAAAGTATTCTAAACACTATTCCAAACCTATGTATATTCTTGATAGTTTTAATTTTTTTCCTTTTATTGGCATTATTCTTAGCATTTTTAGGCATAGGAGGTATATATTTTCTCCATATTTGATCTTAATGGTTCCTTTTTCATTACTGTAAGTTAATCAGGTACACAAAACCTTTTATTTTAATGAAATTCTTAATGAATTTTATGACCCATTTAAAGGCTTGTATTAAATCTTGAATTTCCATGTATTGTGGTACCCATCTTTAACATATAAGATTATCTTTCAATACTACAGTATTAGCCTTGAAAAAAAAATGAATGGTTTGCTATGCTATCAGGTTAAGCCCACTTAGTAGCTATGAGCAGAAAACCTAGCCTACTTGTTTTTCTCAAATTGCATGTCAACATTATATTTCATTAAAATATTAATACACAAAAAGTGTGACCTTTTCCTGTTGTGAGCACCACATATGCAAGACATTGATATTTTATTTGGTTGCTACTTACCTGCCGCAGTCTGGCTGGGCACAATCAGGAGCCACTTGTCAAAAGAAACCAACTTTATTTTTAGAACCACACACGCCAAACAAAACAGCCTCTCAGGAAAAACCCTCAGAGCCTCAACTACCACCACGGGCTTTCCACAAGCCTCTCTCTCCCACCCAAGCTTCTCTCCACCTCCCACAATCCTCCTACTCTTGAGGCCGATTGGCTGGGTCATGTGGGCGGAGCCAAAAAAGTCCCCCAATGAGCAGCTCCCTGGTCTGAAAGGGCAGGGAAACAGCCCAATGAGCATCACCGCAGAGGAGCCAATCAGCTAGATGTTGCTGGGGCTGCTGTGAGCCAATCATCAGCCAGCAGCTGGAAGTTTGCTGGCAGCTGGAAGTTTGCTGGGGCCCCTTCGGCTGTGGCTCTCAACACTTACCTAAAACATTGAAAGTGTTCCATAGATACTAAGATTTAAAAATTTTAAATGATTGTTATTTAAGATAAACTAAAAGGAGACTATCATATAATTTGCCATCCCCCTTTACTACATAAAACTGTTAAATCACTGCTTCACATAATCATATTCAAAGAATAATCTCAGAGCCTGAATTATGCCCTCAATTCCTCCAAAGAATTCAGGATTCTTGAGGGCCTCATATATCTCCTTGTCCTTTTGCTCTATAAATAGATGACCAAGAGGAATTTACTGTGTGTGTTTCCTTTGGTTTTCCTGCAGCTTCTCCCCACTTTTCAAAAATCAGGAAAATTCTGCATTTTGGCTGTCCTGTTTAGCTCTTTTTGGCTGATCATAGATTTTGCACTTTGTAGATGTGAGAGGTCTTTAATAACAACCTAATGACTTCTTTTTGATGTTTAATTATCTTCAGTTTTGTTCTTTAAAGTGACAAATTAATTTTTTCAATGATACCAAATTTGCATTTGTATGAACTAAGTATTATTTTGTCCTTGAGTAGCTTGAACAGTAATGAATTTATATGAATTATAATAGCTCTAAGTTGTATTCAATAAGCCTAGTGAGTTATGTGATTCCTAACTGGTTAAACTTATATGAATATAAGACAACTTCATTGTGCTTCTGGCAGAAAATAAGCAGCTAAAAAAAGCTTATTTTATAATTTAACATTTTAAAATCAGAAGTATCATTTTATTGGAGATTAAGGACTTGTATTTTTCCCTGAATTAATAATTTCACTGAGGATATAATAAGAAAGGAAAATTAATGACATTTAAGTCATTCTTGAAATATAGTTTTTAGCCATTATTCATGTGAAAAGTTGAAGTGAGGAAGAGATAAAAATGAAAACAGAATTAAACACAAACATATACAAGACATAAATATGATTTCTTCCTTATTTATTATCACCAATTTAAATGAATAACTTTTATGTATAACAAGTAATATTTCTGGTTGAAGTTTTCACCAATATATTTTAAGATCATGAAAATTCAAGTTTATATTTCAAAAGTTCAATCTGTCTGATCACACAAAGGAGACGGGACAAATGATCATCCAGAACACACTTCATTCCTGTGTGTATTTATAAAGTTTGAACCATTCCTTACTTGATAGAGGACACCACCAGAATGTAGAAAAGATCAACATTATGATATTCAGTTACTATGATTTAGTAGTGACTATGATACAAATAATATCCACAACATGCATGGCATATGAAAATATACTAATTTTACTGTTACAAAACTAAGATAGAGAATGCAGGCTAATATCTTGACAATGACACCCGTTTCAATATGCTTTTTTTCTCCATTGCTTCTTACAAATGCATCTTTTATCATTTCTTCTCTGTTGTCTTTAGTGAGTTTAACATGCGCTATTCGGAGGGCAGAAATTCAACTGAAGTCAGTGTGACCCATATAAATGTAATATCCCCTTTTCTTTTATGATAAAAAGTTACAAAAATATTTTTAAAGTGTGAGGTTAAAACATGAATGTATTTACCGGATTCTGCTTCCAGGTTATATGTATTATTTGGAAGCATAAAACAACAATCAAAACTGGCCATGATTCAAAAATCATCTCTTATAGCAACAGATGATACAATATGATACAATAAGACCTGAATGGGCTATGATTTTTTTGAGAAGGAATATCCCTGGGGAGGAGAACTAAATCCTACAATCAATCCACCCCACCCCCCCCACCCCCGCCAAATTGGGTAAATCTGAAAACAAACACAACAGCCTTTTGTTGGGAACACAGTAACTTCAGTCGTCTTTGGAAGACTGGAGTATTCAAGCTCAGGATCAGCTTCCTCTCAGGGAACTTGTCAAGCCCAGAGCAGCTTAGGGGACACTAAAAACTTAAGTGGAAAATTCTTCAAAATCAGAGTAAAGTTTTTCTTGCTATAGGAAGATTAGAGTTTGGGATTTCCATAGAAAGAGACTATAGAGGATATACTAAATTCTCCACTGAAAATTCTGAAGGGCTAGATGTTTATCAAGACTTCAAAGAATCTTTTTTTTAATTTAGCTGTAGATGGAGATAATATCTTTATTTTTATTTATTTATTTTTATGTGGTGCTGAGGATTGAACCCAGTGTCTCATGCATGAAAGGTAAGTACTCTACTACTGAGCTACAACTCCAGGCCACTTCAAAGAATCTTGATTGAATCCAGTGCCTATTTTGATTAAGACAGTTTGTTTGGATTGGTTCTGTCAATCTCCCAGAAGAAAAAGTGACTTCTTCCTGGAAGAAGATAATATCATCTTGATTCTAAACAGTTTTCTTTACATAAATATCCAAAGTTCAGTATAAAATTAGTAGATGCATGTGCATGTTTATGTATACATGGACACATATAAACACACAACTGGATGGTACAGATGAAATAGAGCAAAAACATAACCCCTCCAATGCAGGGATGATATAGATATTATAATTAGTTGACAAACAATTAAAACAAGTATGGCTAATGTGCTAAAAATAATGAACAATAGAGAAAATAGATATAAAGAGAATTTCACCCAACAATTGAAAATATAAAATGGAAATTAATTCTACAATTGAAAGATATAATGCCTGCTATAAAACTAAATAGTTTAATGTCATTGACGTTGAGGAATACAGTATCAGTGCATGCAAGATAGTTCAATATGAAACATGAATTAAAACAAAAAATAATGAAAAATATAGAAAGGACATTACTTGAATTTGGGATATAAGGAAAAACTCATACATATTGGAATTCTAGGATAAGAGAGCACAAAAGTGGGTAATAAACAATATTTAAACAGATAATGATAAGATTGAGAAAAGTGGTCAACCTTCAATCTTATTTATTTATTTATTTATTTATTAGGATTAATAAAAAACAAAGCACAACTAGGCATATTGTAGGAAATTTGCTCAACACAAACTAAAAAACATTTAAAGCAACCATATAAAATAATTTATTACTTTTAAAGATGCCTAAGTAAAATGGAGACTTTTTTAACATAAATCAATGAAACAGAAAGGCAATGGATTAATGTCTTGAAGACCTGGAAGAAAATTATTACCAGATTAGAATTCTATTGCCAGTAAACATAACCATCAAAAGGATATTCTAATATGTTTTGGTTTCAAACAAACAAAAACTGAGAAAATTAATCAGTAACATCTGCACTAAAAGAAATACTGGATAGTACAGATAAAATTTAATCTGCAAAAGGAAAAGAATCCTAAATAGATCATAGAATTGAAGGAAGAAAAAAAAGAGAAAGGAAGGGTAAATATAAGTGAGTATTGATCTAATGTTGATTATAGTAGGCAATCATAGTAGTTTCTTAAAGCATTTAAAATATATGACTTTTAAATTCATAATAGCAAAAACACCAATTTACAGGTATAGAATTAGAGATTTCTAAGGTTCCAAGCATTATCTCATGAATGTAGAAACAATTTGTGGTAGGTTCCTGTAGATAAGAGATGTATCCTGTAAAAAAAAAATTAACCAAGAAAAGAAGTGAAGGAAATTTCTAAAAGATAACGAGTATTTCAATAATCCAAAGAACAAAACCTTAGGGGTAGTGGAAAAATAATTATATTTTAAGTATAGATTAAATGATATTAGATATTATATTATACTTGGATTAAGTAAATCAATTAAATATCATAATTGTCAGACTAGACTTAAGAAAACTCAAATATATGCTATTAAATAAATTTGTATGTGTGAGAGAGATAGAAAACAAAGATTGAAAGTTAAAAAATGGGACAAGGCTCAGCAAATCTCAACATCATGTACATCCAGAAGAAATTAATTTTTAAAAACTATGGATAAGTTGCAGAAAGATCAGTAGAATACAGGAAAGGGAGCAGGGGTGGGAGAAGGGAAGGGAGGGGGAATTAGTGGGACTGAATTACAAGATATAGTCCATGCTTTTATAATTATGTCAAAATGGATTCTAATCT